GAGGCAGAGGCAGGTGGATCTTTGTGAGTTCCAGGACAGCTGGGGCTATAAGGAGACCCTGTCTCAAAAAGACAAAAAAACAAATAAATAAAAACTATTTTTATGTGTATGAGTGTATTGCCTGCATGTATGTAAATACACCTTTGTCATGCAGTGCCCATGAAGGTCAGAAGAGGGTGTCATATCCTTGGAATTGGAGTTAAGGACAGTTGTAACTGCCTTGTGGATCCTGGGAACTGAGCCAATCCCAGGTCCTCTGCAAGAGCAGCCAGTGCTCTTAACCACTGAGCCATCTCCAGCTCCCAAAGATTAATTTTTTTAATTGTGTGTGTGTGTGTGTGTATGTACATGTGCACGTGCACACATGAGTGCATGTGCTCGTAGAGACCAGAGGCATCAGATCTCCCTCCAGCCCCATGAAAGTACATTTTAGCTATCATTTTACCACCAAATAGTTTTCATCTTGGATTGGCTAAATCTGCAGATGTGAACTGGGAGACTGACTCTCACTATGGACTTTGTGAGGATTAAGTGTATTGACACAACTTCAGTACCTAAAACAGTGCTTGGTACACAGTAAGCATTAAATAGATGCTCACTCAACACGAAGCACTAACACAGTTTTTGGCATTTATTTATTTATTGCATTTTGGAGGTGCTGTGGTGTGCCCATGGAGGTCAGAGGACCCCTTGCAGGAGTCAGTTCTCTCCTTCCACCATGAGTTTTGGGGATCAAACTCAGGTCATCAGCCTTAGTGACAAGCACTTTTACCCACTGAGCTGTCTCACCAGCCCATTTTTTTGTTGTTATTTTGTTTAGTTTTTGCACGCTAAGGAAGTGCTATACCACTCAGTGACATACCTATCTCCTATTCCTTTAATTTTTCATCTCATTCTATAAATGGATTTTTTGACAGATGTTTAGTAACATTATTAATACATTAGTATTAATATACAAATACATATACTGTTGGGGTAAATTTTTATACATACACAATGGAGAGAGGTATTAGAGATCAAATCCAAGGGCCTTGCTTATGACTGACCTCTTTCTACAACCTCTCAAAAGGTTTTTGGAGTCTTTAATTTTTTTTTTAATTATACTTACTTGTTTAATGTGTATGTGCCACATTTGGCCTCCAATTTTCTTTTAAATTTATTTTGTGTATATGAATGTTTTGCCTACATGTATGTAAGTGCACCAATGCACACAATGGCTCTTGGAGGTCAGAAGAGAGCATTGGGTCCCCTGGACTTGGAGTTTACAGTCAGTTGTTATATGGCATGTTAAGTGCTGGGAATGTAACCCAGGTCCTCTGCAAGAGCAGCCAGTGCTCTTAATTGCTGGGCTATCTTTACAGCCCCTCAAAATGTTTTAATAGGGTTGGGGTGATGGCTCAGTCTGTAAAGACTTTCCATACAAGCATGAAGGCCTGAGTTTGAGCCACATGACCCACATATGGAAGCTGGACACTGGTGTGCTTCGAATCCAGGCCTGAGGAGGTGGATACAGGCAAATCTCTCAGGCAGGCTAGCCAGGCTATCTAGCTTAATCTGCAGTCTCTGCCGAATCTCAGCAAGAGACCTTGTCTCAAAAAACCAAAGTGGAGGCTAGGCACGGTGGCACACACCTTTAATCCCAGCACTGGAGAAGGAGAAGCAGGTGAATCTCTGTGAGTTTAAGACCGGCCTGATTTACATAGTAAATTTCAGACCAGCCAGGGCTACATAGTAAGACCCTGTCTCAAAAGAAATAAAAAAAAAAGACAGACAGCTCCTGAGAAAGGACACCTGAGGTTGACCTTTGGCTTCCACTTGCATGTGTACCTGCCCACACATGGACAGACGGACAGACACCCCCACACAGAGATATTCTGGCTCCCCCTGTTAGGTTAATCTACTGTTGACCCAGGCACCTCCCAAGAAAGCTTCTGAGCTATAGGTAGGCTTTTCCACACCAGAGCCTTTTGCATGGGTGAAGGTGTTGGGAGAAGTGGTCTGTTTTACAGGTGAGGAAACTGAGTCTGGCCACCTTAGGTCCTGCTCTAGCACAGGATCTGGAAGTTGTCAGGTCTAGAATTCTTATGTCTTCAGCTCACACTGTAGTAATGACATCTTAACAGATGCAGGAATGGAGGCTCAGAGCTGTCAAGTCATCTGTCTGGTATCACATAGCTGGCCCCATGCTTGCTCTGTTAAATGCCAGAAACACTTGCTGAAGGTCCTCTGTGTGCCAGGCTCTGTGGTAAGCTCCTTAGAAAGCTTTTCATTCTTCACAGCAACCTCTCTGATGGGGAGACTGAGAGGTCTCACAAAGTGGTTAGGTCACTGCCAGACAGTTTGACTTCAGAATATTATGGTGTTGACAATGGAACCCAGGGTCTCTTGTATGATGGTCTACCACTGAACCACATCCTCAGCCTGTAACTGGCTTCATAACCTGGTCCTCTCAATGGTCCCCTTCCAGCTGAGGATGAGCCTCAGATGATAGAGCACTTGCTAAGATTGCAGAAAGTTTTGCAGCACCATTTAAACTCAGTATGGTAGAGCATGCCTGTAATCTAGTACTGAGGAGGTGGAGGCAGGAGGATCAATACATGAGACTGTCTCAAAAAGCAAGACCAGGCCAGCAAGATGGCTCAGACAGTAAAGGTGCTTGCTATGCAAACCTAAGAACCTGAGTTTAACCTATAATCCATGTAGAGGTGGAAGACAAGAACTGACTTCATAAAGTTGTCCTCTGACATCCACACACAGGCTGTGGCACAGGCACACACACATAAAATAATAATAATAATAAAAAAACTAGTTTTTGTCAAGATTACTATCTACTGGGGCTAAAGACATTGGCTGCTCTTTACAACTGTCCTTAACTCCAATTCCAAGAGATATGACATCCTCTTCTGACCTCTGTGGGCATTGCAGGACATCAACACACATACACGCAGGCAAAACACTTGTAACACATAAAATAAAAATAAATATTTATTTACAATTAATATTATTAATATAAATTATATTACTATATTATTAATATAAATTGTATTAATGATTTATATAAAAAATAATTTTTAAAAAATAGTAAAGCAAGAGAGACCCTCCCTGAAATATCTGGAAACACCAGGTGGCAAATGTTCCCTGTTACTGTTCAGAGATTCCTCCTGTGGCCCCAAACAGGACAGTATTTTCTGCATGTAACATGTGGCACCTCACCCCTTCCTCTGTTCCCTACAGCTCCTTGGGATATATCCCCCTGATGCGGGTAGTACAGTCTGTGCGACACACAACTCGGAAATCCAGCACCACCCTACGTGAGGGCTGGGTGGTCCATTACAGCAACAAGGACACGCTTGTGAGTGGGTGGGGCTGGAGTTGGGGGACAGCCATGTTGGGGGGTGGGCTAAAGATGGAGGAGGGCTGGGATGGTCTGGGTAGGTGGGAGACAAGTGGACAGAGCTAGGGGTGGGCTGGAATCCAGACGTAGGGGTGGGATGGAATAACTTGAGGAGTCAGGGCGCATAGTCTGAATGGTGTTTAGGTGGGGGGACCACAGTTAGGAGCAGGCAAGGAAAGTGGGTAGCTGAGGTCAGGTGGGTGTGGCTAGATTTAGAGGCAGGTGGAAATAATTTGGAGGACCCAGGAAGAGGTAGATGGAGGACCCAGTGGCGGGCCAGGAGGTCTGGGTGGACACATTCTCTGTGCATTTCCACCAGCAGACAGGAAAGCAGCTCTAGAATCTAAGGATATGTCACAGTGATGGAAGGGGGCTGGTAGGATTTAGAGGGAGGTGGGTTTAGGGTGGCGCTTAAGGCTTGGAGAGATGGCTCAGCATTTAAGAGCACTGGCTGCTCTTGAAGAGAACCCGAGTTCAGTTTCCAGCACCCACATGATGACTCACAGCCTTTGGTAACTCCAGTTCCAGGTGATCTGACACCCTCTTCTGGGCCTCCACGGGCATTGCATGCATGGGTGCACTTACATGCAGGCAGAACACTCATACATATAAACTAAATTTAGGAGAAAAAAAATGAACACAAGAGCTTAAGTAGAGGAGCCAGAGTTAAGGGAGGAACTTGGCTGGGTCCTACACAGATGTCCTGCAGGGTGGGGTAGCCTGGTAGTCAACCTTACCCTGTCCACCTTCCCTCAACAGAGAAAGCGGCACTATTGGCGCCTGGACTGTAAGTGCATCACCCTCTTCCAGAACAATACCACTAACAGATACTACAAGGTGGGTCTCTGCCCCTCCTCCAGCAACCACTAACCCCCACCATCTGCTTTGCCTGTGTCATCACTGTCATTGTTGTCATCACTGTCTCCTCCTCATGTGTCCCCCCAAGTCCATCCCTGTGTCTCCACCACTCCCCACCTCCACCCCTGTCTCTACACATGGCTCCTCTATCTAGTAAAAAGCCTCAAATAATAGTATTACCCTGTTTATTATATTATACTATAGTAGCTAGAAGAGTATTTATTAAAACCTTCAGGACAGGAGCTGGAGAGATGGCTCAGTGGTTAAGAGTATTGACTACTCTTCCAGAGGACCAGGGTTCGATTCCCAGCACCTGCATGGCAGCTAACAACTGTCCGTAACTCCAATCCCAGGTGATCTGACAGCCTCTTCTGACCTCCGTGGGCATTGCACAACTTGGGTGCACTTACCTACATGCAGGCAATACACACATACACATAAAATTTTTTTTTAATTTTTTTAAAGTTTAAAAAAAATGAAATATTTAGGAGTTGGGCGTGGTGGCACATGTGTTTAATCCCAGCACTCGGGAGGCTGAGGCAGGTGGAGCTCTGTGAGTTCAAGGCCAGCCTGATCTACCTAGTGAGTTCCAGGACAACTGGGGCTACAGTCTCAAAAAAAAAAAGAAATATTTACATACATACATAAAACTGTGAGAGTGCCCAGTGATTCCACTGCCCTTGGAATAAAGCCCAGGCTCTCCTTTGGTCTCCTCTGTGGAGTGTCTTTCTTGGACTGTCTCACCTTTAGGCCACACCCCTCTACCATACTGCCTAAGTCACTTTTTTTGAACCCAGAGTCTGATCATGGCTGATAGGCACTCTACCACTGAGTCTCACCCCAACCTCTCAGTACCATAAAGGTGTGTGCCACCATGCCCAGTGCAAGCCCTCTACGTACCTTCTATTTTTGAGGCCTGGCCTCACCAAGTGGCTTTGAACTTGTAACTCTCCTGCTGCAGCCTCCCCTCTGGCTGGGATTCTAGGCCTCCACCACCAGGCCTGGCTGTCACTTGGCTTTTCTCTCCTCCCTCCCAAGTCTCTTCCCTTTCTCATCTATTTCCCCTTCATTTTCTCTCTCACAGCCTCTTTCTTGTCTCCTGTCTTGATCTCATCCTATCCTGTGGACTTTCTACACAGCCAGAAGCTGCACCTCACCTGCTCCAAACACTTCCATGGCTACGTAGGGCCCTCAGACAACAGCCGCTCATGATCCCCTGATGCCCTGTGTAACCTCACATCCTTCATTATTCATCAAACACTTATCAAGTGCCTCCAGCTGCCAGGCACCATTCTGTGTACATGGCCGGCCCACTAAGCACAGCAAGCCTTCCTTAGGGCCTTCGTACATGCTGTTCCCTGTCCTCTTTGCCAGCTGATTACTCTTATAAGGTGATTACTCTGAGAGGCCTTCCCTAACTCTTCATGCAAACCAGGTGTATCTTCATTGACTCTGACTCTTGTACGGTCCTCTTGAGTGAGCACAGGAGCAGCAGGGACTGCCACCAGCTATACCTAAGCTGACACTTCCATACCCTGCCAGGAAATCCCACTGTCAGAAATCCTTGCGGTGCAGCCGGCTCAGGACTTCACCCTCGTACCCCCGGGCACCAACCCACACTGCTTCGAGATCATCACTGCCAATGCCACCTACTTTGTGGGCGAATCACCTGGCGGGGCCCCAGGTGGGCCAAGCGGACAGGGGACCGAGGCTGCTCGGGGTTGGGAGACAGCCATCCGCCAGGCCCTGATGCCTGTTATCCTCCAAGATGCACCCAGTGCCCCAGGCCACATGCCACACAGTAAGTCCCCACCCAAAGTCCTTTGGGCTGGTGATTGGGGCTGGAGAGATGGCTCAGTGATTAAGAGCACTGGCTGTTCTTGCAGAGGACCCAGGTTCTATTCCTAGCATTCACGTGGCAGCTAACAACTGTCCATAACTCCAGCTCCAGAGGATCTGATACCTCTTCTGGCCTCTTCAGGCAACTGCACTCAAAGTGCACATACCCACACACATATATACACATAGATATAATTTAAAATGAAAACTTAGGGCAGGTTGGAGCAAGGAGAACAGGGAAGAGTTAGTTTGTGGGTTGGAGTTATTGGGGTCTAGACTGGGGCTAGGGGAGGCTGAGGGGGTGGCAGAGGAGGAGAGGCATTTGAATGGTAGAAGGATCAAGACTTAGGAAGTGTCTAGTGCAGTTTGTAATGTGATGGGATAAATTCCAGGGAACTTGCTGAAATTTGTTAGGACTGTCCCTCCCAGCCTCAGTTTCCCTCTCTGTTAAGTGGGATTACCTCCTTCCTTGGCACTCAGGATATTGAGTCAAACACTAGGTGTATCATTGTGACATCATATCTCAAATACATTTCATTTCTTGCTCCTGGTAGTTCTTTTATTATTCCCATTCTCCATATGAGGAAACTGAGGTTCAGAGTGGACTACTCATGAGCTTGGGCAAAGCTGAACATTGTACATCTCCCCATTTGGATGTGGGTGGTGTGGTGCCCGAGGTGGCCTAGGGATGTACAGGTGACAACTGCCCTGACCCTGGGATGCCCTCACTTGTCTCTCCCTTCCTCCTAGGACAAGCTTCTTTGAGCATCTCTGTGTCCAACAGTCAAATCCAAGAGAATATGGTAAGTCTCTCACCTGCCCCAGACATCTTCTGTCTCAGTTTCATTTAGCTTCTTGTGATTAAAAATACCCTGATAAAGCTGGGCGTGGTGGCGCACGCCTTTAATCCCAGCACTTGGGAAGCAGAGGCAGGCAGATCTCTGTGAGTTTGAGGCCTGCCTGGTCTACATAGCGAGTTCCAGGCCAGCTGGGGCTACAGGGAGACCGTCTCAAAA